GATTTGCATTTGTCTGTGTTATCTTCTTCTTGAACTGACTGCCGTGGACCAAACGCAAAGCGTATGCCCCAGTGACAATTGCGACGTCTGTCAAATATCGCGGGCCGACTCGCCGCGTGCGACGGCTGCGGCGTGACCTAGTTTCGACGGACACGCGCAACGAAGCGCACCCGGGCCCCACTCCCTCCAGTGTAGGGATCTCGGACTCGGGCTTGCTGAGCGGATTTGCCCGCCGGCCCATCGGACCTCCAGCAGCGTGCATCATCCTGGTTAAACTTATAAAATTCACTGATTTAGAGAGAGCAAGCAGAGGTAATTGAAAGCGGACAGTTTGAGGAGCAGAAGGTGCTTTTTAGTATTGATGAGAGAATAACAACAACGTCGAAGAAGGGAATGAATCTCAACCCTGTCTGCCTTTTGTTTTCTTGAGTATTTTCTTAAACTTTTGGGTTAAGTGTGGTTTAGTGGTTATCGCTTCTGACTCACAATCAAAAGGTCCTCTGATGGAAACAAGGGGTCAACGTCGAGGTCTATATGTTGCACATACATATCTTAAAAGCAGCATCGGATAGCTTTGGCTTGCTGTATTCGCTCAAACGTAAGCCCGTCGCAGATCCTTTACATTTAGACAAGCGTTTGCGGACGGACACACCGACATACCGACATACCGACATACCGACATACACACAAACCGACAAACCGACACACCAAGTTTCTGCTTTATAAATGAGAGAGATTGTTATGTTTTGCTGGCCTGTATTGTTTTGAAGGATGTTTTCGAGTGAGTCTCATTCTCAAGGTTTCTAGCAGTCCTTCCAGTTTTCTATGATGAATAAGCAGGTTAGTTGCGGGTCATGTTCTCATTGGTACCCATTTCCAACAAGAAAACTTCAATATCTCCAGGGGATCGATTTGATTGTATTAATTTTGGCTTTTTTTAAAGTTAAAGCTCATAAGTTGAGTGTTTGGAAATGGTCTACGATGGTATCTGATGGCCTTCACGTTTGGTCGAAGACCTCGTCGTTTCTAGCAGCGTCCATTCTATATCTAGTTTGAGCTCACAGGATCTTGCAACATATTTTCGGTAAGATGGTATGTCACACGCTTCAAGCTCACGAAGTCACACCCTCAAGTCTCAGCCTCTCGAGAAAAGGCAACCGAAGACGCCCCGGGAGGAGAATCGGCCAGCTTGAACTGGAGCTTTTTAGCTGAAAGGCACAGTTCCCAATGAAAGTGGCTTTCGAGGTATCACTCTGAGATAAGTCTGTGATTCAGTCTTACACCATATGTGAGTTGAAAACGGCCTCGATAGTGCGTTATAAGGGTCCAGAGATTGTATCGTCTGAATGCCTCACCCATAGTGGACGACTGGACTTTCGGCAGGCAAGTGGTGAGCCTGAAGCGGGCCCATCACCTACTGTGGGCTCCACCTTCGGACTCGTCAAGGGTTTTTTCACAGCCGTCCCTAGTCTTATTGTTTATTGATGGCGACGAAGCGAAGCCTCCCTTCGTGAGGGGACCCGCCTCCTCTCTGTAGGAGAGGGCTGTCAAAGGTCAGGTCTAGGGTCATTTCGATTATCGCGATCAGCACCTTGTTCAAATCACTTCGTCTTTGTTGGAACGTAAACATGCTCTATGTTATCTCGGTATATTGTTGTGTAGAGATAACAATAGTCTAAACTGGGTCATCGATACTAAGGAATTCACTATACTCGCAGGACTCATCGAGAGTCCACGTTGAACCACGACTTCCTCCTTAGGGTGATCATGCTCTGAAGCAGTTGTCGAGCTTACTGTAGTACTTGAAGAGATGAAGTCGGTGAGTAATAAAAGGAAGGATCTCATCAGTCGATGAGCGACAAGTGCCAAATTGGGACTGACTAGGAACACTCCTACTAGCTCAAGAGAAGGCGAAAGGTATAAAAGTAGACGATCCATCCAACAGATGGTTGGATGGATCGTCTACTTTTATACCTTTCGCCTTCTCTTGAGCTAGTAGGAGTGTTCCNCATCCAACAGATGGTTGGATGGATCGTCTACTTTTATACCTTTCGCCTTCTCTTGAGCTAGTAGGAGTGTTCCTAGTCAGTCCCAATTTTGACAGGAGAGAGGAGAGCTTATTTAAAAGTTAGAAAAGTGTCTGATGCCTGGATTACTCTGTACTACAATTTCTTTATGAAACTTTCAGACACAAGATAATATTCTTTCTACCGTCCAAAAATTTCTCTCAAACGCACCACCTTCATGTGACGTGGAGATCAGTGTGAAATGTAAGTCATGACTTTGTTTTAGAACTGGTTCCAGGTTTTGAACCTCAAATCTTTCCCAAATGCTCCCCAGAAGTGTCATATGAATTGATTGACCTTGAAATGGTTTACAACTGTATAGACTCGTAGAAAATCAAGCAAATCAGCTTCTACCATCATTCGGGAACTGATGGATGCAGGATGGCCGTCTCCATTCCGACATTATAGCTAGAAATTATAGGAATATGTACGGGACAGCTACGCGCATGTGCAGTGGTATGACCGAACGCGAAGAATCAAGACGATTAGCTTCAAGCATA